AGCATAACTTAGCGGTTGTTGCTCAAAAATAAGGGAACACTGGGTCAAAAAAGACTTACATGACCCCAGGTCGCCGTGGTACGGTGCCGGTGGAGGAACAAAAACATCTCTGGTAGGAGGAGGCAGGACTAGCGATGGGGCAGCAGAAGGAGCAGAAATATTATCAGTGGCCGTTGTGTTGATTACTTGAGTCCTCAGGCTTGCCAGGCTGATAGAAAACTCCTTCATGTGTTCCATGAGGGCCTTGAGCGTATTGTCATGTTGCTCCAACAGAGACATCTGGGCAGAAAGGGTCTGGTTGATGTGGTCTGCTGGGTTCATTCTTTGGCCAGTTCGTACTCTTACGAGTCGGACAAAGAACCCAAGTGCAGAGGTAACAAAAAGTTTAATTAACAAAAATAGGTAGACTCAAAACACAGGAGAGCCGGGAATGGGGCTGGGACCAGGCGGTGCAGGGCTGGGTGCAGAGCTGGGGTCAGGCGGTGCTGGGCTGGGGTCAGGCGGTGCGGAACGGAGGTCTGAGGCAGAGCAAAACAAAAGTGAGACAAAAGTAACGAGAGCGATAAACAAGCAGGCCTACTAACGCACAGTAACACTGATTACGAACTGGCACCGATGAGCTGGCTTCTGGAGCTCTTGTAGTAGCTTGATTGGAGCCAGGAGGCAGCTGGGCCTGATCAGCCTCTCCCATCCACCTGCTCTGGGAGGCGGCTCCAGGAGAAGCAGGGGAGGGAGGGGCTGCTGGAGGAGCAGCCCTGACAATCGGTGTACCTTCAGCGGCTCCAACTTGCGCTCAACACAGTGGTGAAGAGAGGTGGCATTTCAACGGCTGAGACTGACAGACACTTATAGCAGCAGTTTGTACGTGGGTGCTAGGACAATGATTTATTAATTAAGTTGCAACTGGAGCAGCGTAGACACAACCCACCATCGTTCGCAGAACTCCTGCTGTTACTACGCACTGAAGAAGACAGGCAACAAGCTAAAGACACACTGATGAAAAAACAGATTGGTTCCGGTCCTTTAAAGCAGAAAGCCAACATCCAGTCACAGAGCACTTGTTCTTGTGGACATTCTGCCTACAACAATCTCAAGGATCTCAAGAAACAAATGGAACAGCTTCAGCAGCAGATGTCTGTCTTTCTATCTGCGAACTCCAAGTCCAGCAAACCCGCACCACGTCAGCCCAGCTGCCCTTCATCTCAGTCTCCAGCGAAGCCCAAGCCCTGGTACTGCTTCAACTGTGGTGAAGATGGACACATCTCTTCTTCCTGCAGCAACACACCCCATCCCACTCTGGTTGAGCAGAAGAAAAAACAGTTACGCCAGAAGCAGCAAGCCTGGAACAACAAACACTCAAATGGCCATTTAAACTGAAACCAGCTTCTTTGAAGGGACTCTCAGGAGCTGCCACCAACAGACAATGTCCCAAAACCACATGCACTTTGCCACACTTACCCAAAGGTCTCGTCGGAACCAAGAGCACAGGTCAAATTCAGATTAAAGGAACCCAAATAAACTGTCTTCTTGACACTGGCTCCCAGGTCACCACAGTGCCCCACTCGTGTTACAATTCGTATTTCTCTGATCATGAGATTAAACCACTGCATGACCTGTTAGAAATAGAAGGAGCAAACGGACAGTCGGTACCTTACCTAGGGTACATTTAAATAAGTATGACATTCCCTCCTGAACTACTCGGGTCCACAATCACCATCGACACTCTGGCTCTTGTTGTTCCTGATTTCGAACGATCCCAGTCAATGATCCTCGTAGGCACCAATAGCCTAGATACTGCTTACCGGGCACACATTGACAGTCACCCTGATTCGCCTATTCTCCCTTCCGCTGCCGGCTACCAAGCTGTGGTACGGATCCTCCAACACCGTCATTTGAACAGCTTGGACAACCGATCCGCCACTTTAGAGCTAAACGACCCCTGCACCATCTCTGCTGGCCAGACCACAGTCCTTGAGAGATTCTTGGCCACGAGATTTCTGCAAGATGAGAAGGCCGTTATGATCGAGCACCCGAGGTTGTGCTCTCTGCCTGGTGGTCTCATCAATCATGCCTCTCTGATCTACCCACACGCCGGCCGTGCAATCTACCGGTCATAGTGGCAAACGAGTCCGACCACGACGTAACTATTCCTGCACAAACGGTCATTGCAGAGGTGTGTTCTTTCCAAAACATCCACGCAAAACAGCAAAGTGTTCATTCTGCCCAACAACTAAACACTCCACCACCACAATATTACTTTGGGGATTCTCCGCTTCCACCCGAATGGAAAGAGCGAATCACAACACAGCTCAACAATATTCCAGAGGTTTTCGCTAAACACAACCTGGATTTTGGCCGGACGGATAAAGTAAAACATCACATCAAACTATCTGATCCGAGTCCATACAAACAGAGGCCCCGGCCAATCCATCCCCAGGATATTGATGCCGTGAGGCAGCATCTCCAGGAGTTGTTGGAGTCTGGGGTTATCAGAGGATCAGAGTCGCCATTCGCATCCCCAATCGTTGTTGTGCGCAAGAAAAATGGGAGCGTTCGGTTGTGCATTGACTACAGAAAATTTAACCTGCAGACCATCAAGGACGCTTACCCTTTGCCCAAGTTGGAAGACACATTTTCTGCCCTGTCCGGTTCTAAATGGTTTTCGGTGCTCGATTTAAAGTCTGGGTACTACCAGATTGAGATGGAGGAGGCCGATAAACCAAAGACTGCGTTCGTTTGTCCATTAGGATTTTATGAATTTAACCGGATGCCGCAGGGTGTGACCAACGCCCCGAGCACCTTCCAGCGCCTTATGGAGAGGTGTATGGGGGAGTTGCACTTGAAGGAGGTTCTGGTCTTCATCGACGACCTAATCGTTTTCGCACCAACTCTTGAGGCGCACGAGCGATTGATGAAGGTCCTAAACCGGTTAAAGGAGTTTGGTCTGAAACTGTCTGTTGAGAAATGCACATTCTTCCAAACATCCGTGAAATATCTTGGACATGTGGTTTCGCAGGAGGGTATTGAAACTGACCCAGACAAAATAAAGACACTCACCTCGTGGCCAGTCCCTCAGAACTTGAAAGAGCTGAGGTCTTTCTTAGGGTTCGCTGGGTATTATCGGAGGTTCGTGCATGGATACTCGGCCATCGTTAAGCCGCTTCATGACCTCACTGCTGGATACTCTCCCTCCCAAAAGAAAGTGAAAGCCAAGATCACACCTGGTGCATACTTGAACCCTAAAGAGTCGTTTGGAGGGCGTTGGTCACCAGAGTGTCAAACTGCATTCGAAACAATAATTGACAAACTTACCTCGTCTCCTGTTCTGGCATTCGCAGACCCTGAAAAGCCCTATATTCTGCACACCGACGCTTGTTCCACCGGCCTCGGTGCAATTCTATACCAGGAATGTGAGGGGGTGAATCGAGTTGTGGCCTACGCCAGCCGTGGACTCTCCAGGAGCGAGGCCAATTATCCTGCCCACAAACTACAGTTCCTGGCGCTCAAGTGGGCAGTCTGCGAAAAGTTTAATGACTATTTGTATGGTGCACAATTTACGGCCGTCACAGACAGTAACCCCTTAACCTAGCTGCTCACTTCAGCCAAGCTTGACGCTACCAGTTATCGCTGGCTGTCTGCCTTGTCCACCTTTAATTTCAAGATCTCTTACAGAGCTGGCAAGCAGAATTTGGACGCTGACGGTTTGTCCCGCAGGCCCCATGGGGAGCTGTCCCCATGGGGGACATCTATCTATCTCCGGCCTAGTCAGATCCTTAGCCCAAGGCGTTACACATGCATTCTCTATGGAATCCAATGGGAATCTTTGATTCTTATCAACTGTGAATTACACAGACAATACCAGAAGTGTCCCTCCTCAGGAAGATTATTTCACACAGCAAGAGCTAATACTTAGAATTAGATGCCAAGCAAGCCCGCCAAGTACAGACTAGGGATCTTCTGGGTTTGTGATGCATGTATCCCTATGCAATAGATGGAAAATGTGAAAAAACACATCTGTGCATGCGTTAGCCGTCACAAGCCCCATTCATTTGACGAGTGCATTCTGAAGTCCACAGCGGCTAAACTCTGGTCAGACTAATATAATCCCCTCAGCATTGCCAATATCTGGAGTGTAGCTTTGGACCAAGAACTAGCTTTTGGACCATCATGTAAATGTTTTCGAGAAGAAAGAAGACGCCATACAAAAGCATTTGATAATTTTTTTCTGGATACACCCCCACCGGCCCAAGGCCAGGGTAGGATTGCAAATATGTCAGCGCACATGCTTATGGATTTTTTTGAACCGGGACCCGCCCCCACTGGTTGGCACCTACACCTGCAAGTACCAAACACAGAGGTGGCCCATAGTGCTGTGGTACAACATGATTGACATTGCCACCCTGAATCACACGCGAATGCGTACGCTCGGATCTGGGCAGATCTCACACGTTCATAAGTACTGCGCTGGATTTTGCATGATTGGAATCTTCCCCCAAATACACATCCTTTTCTGCGCAAGTTTCATAAATGAGGGCCATTGACTCATCACCTCACAAACAAAGTGTGAAAAGTAATCACACCCATTAGGGCTACAGAGAAATTAAAAAACTAACTACTTCTAAATGATTTAAAATAATTTTGAAGTTTAAAGAAATATATATATATATGTATATTTTTTTATCATTAGATAAAACAAGAGGGGGGTAATCTGGCTTAAAGGGGGTTAAAATAGCCTAGGCCACAATATGCCAGGACTGAACCAATGAGGCTTTTAAAGCTGGGGCACCCCATTTTTTTTTCCATCTTTTCGTGTTTAATCATGTGTTTGATTTTGTCCCTGATGCTACTACAACAGAACATAGAAGATCATAAGTTAAGATGGAACATACTCTTGTTAGCACACCCCTACTTCTACAGCCACTTGGCTTTAAAACATGAAAATGTATCCAATATTTGTTTCTTTAATGATTCCCTTATGGATTGATAGAGATGTTTGTGAAATGGTAATTTAGACCTCTTGTATGAATGTAGACATATGTGTATAATGAAGTACAGTTGAAATCATATTAAAACATGTCAAATAATGTGTGTACTCAAAAAAACACAAACTTAAATTCCCTTCATGAAAGTTTATTTCTGCTCGTCACATGTGCCAAAGCACACAGTCTGTGGTGTACATATTTATGGCTTCCACATATACATCTGCTGTGGCATATGTCATCCATGTGGTCCACTCTGGAACTTTGTCTGGCATCTGTCAGATTTCGTTGCATCTATGTGTTTTTTATGACGTCTTTCATGTTTTGCAACATCTGGCCCGGAGTCTGGGACCTTGTCTGGTATCTATAGTTTTTGTGAGACCTGTTCACTGCTGTGTCCTGTGAAAAGCACAACAATAATATGAAGTGGGAGGATAAACACATGGATCAGTCCTTGATGATTTACCTTTTTTTGACATGAACACATGCTACAACCCTCCTCCTCCACACCGTCTCTCCACTGCCTCACACTGCCCTGATCACTTTGGTCTTTCTCACAGCTGGTTTGTGGCATCTGGTCTGACATTTGTTCTTACTAGTGACATGTGTTCTTCAGCCTGGCCTTTGGGGCAACTGGCCTCGCATCTGACTTTTTACTGGCATCTGTTGAAGTATCCACAGTATTGTAAACCCAAATCTTAGACCTCGTCTTTTGTGACACACCAAACTGTCCATATGATGATTTACCTGTATTTGATGAGAACACATGCTTCAACCCTCCTCCTCCACTCCATCCCTCCACTGTCTCACATGCATGCTCTGGTCACTTTCCCTTTTTTGACACATCTGGTTTTCCCTCTGGTGTATTGATGGCTTCTGCTCTGGCATCTGTCCAATGTGTGACATCACAACTGTTAAATGTGTTGATGTTTTTTGCAGTTTGACCTGAATAAGACAAACATGCATTGAAGTGGGAGGAGGTACACATGACATGTTCATTTGATGATTTACCTGTATTTGATTCATGAACACATGGTATAACCCTCCTCCTCCACTCCGTCTCTCCACTGTCTGCACTCATGTGTTCCACAGACTGGTAAATAACAGACACTTCACTGCACTTCATCACCTGCACTGTGTATTTTGTGTTTGTTACTTCATCAATGTTGTGCTACAGCTCCATCTAAAAACAAAGCAGAATAACTTTACTTAACCCTCTATACTCACATTATTGTCCTTGTCCCTTTTTAAGCCCAAAGACAGAACGTGGAGGTAAGAAACCTGTGAATCAAAGCCATATACCACATACATTAAAGGCAGTAAATTAAATCTCAACACCGGTGCACCTTCAAATAACCGGCAGCCTTTGTGACATCTGCTTGGTATTTTCTGACATTCTCCTATAAATAAGAGCACAAAGCATTGGAGTGGGGCACACCTCAAGAGACAAATGAAATGTTGCTCCAAAGATACCTGAACTGTGTATTTCTTTTTTCTCCTTTTCATCTAAAAATAGGAAGTCGTGTAAAGTAATGTGACAATAACTATTTAACCCGCTGTACTCACCAGTCGTGTCTTTTCTCTTTTTACTCACAAACAGCAAACCTGTGAATCAAAGCTAGACCACAAATATTAGAGGCAAAACATGACATTTCCACACCAGAGAGAGCACGAAGGGATCCAAACGGGATCCAACAATGAAGAAAACAGCGAATGGATAGAATGATAGCTACGTGCAGCCGCTGGGTGGAGGAGAACAGGTCACAGCAGCAAAGGTGGAGTAGCTGCTGGGTGGTGGAGGACAGGTCACAGCAGCAGAGGTGGAGTAGCTGCTGGGTGGTGGAGGACAGGTCACAGCAGCAGAGGTGGAGTAGCCGCTGGGTGGTGGAGGACAGGTCACAGCAGCAGAGGTGGAGTAGCTGCTGGGTGGTGGAGGACAGGTCACAGCAGCAGAGGTGGAGTAGCCGCTGGGTGGTGGAGGACAGGTCACAGCAGCAGAGCTGGTGCAGCCGCTGGGTGGTGGAGGACAGGTCACAGCAGCAGAGGTGGTGCAGCCGCTGGGTGGTGGAGGACAGGTCACAGCAGCAAAGGTGGAGTAGCCGCTGGGTGGAGCAGGACAGGTCACAGCAGCAGAGGTGGTGCAGCCGCTGGGTGGTGGAGGACAGGTCACAGCAGCAGAGGTGGAGTAGCCGCTAAATATAATAGTAACAAACTTAAAAGGGGATCAAACAAGGATCCTGCAACAGTAACAAAAGTGTTTTTTTGTTTTTTAAAGGATCCAACAGGGATCAAACATTTTACAACACAACAATAATAACACCAACAAACTATTTATAAAAAGGGATCAAACGAGGATCTGGCAAAACGTAACAGTAACAAACATACTTTTTTTCTTTTTTTTTTTCTGTTTTTTAAAGGGATCAAACTGGGATCCAGTTATGTAAATATTTACAGTGACACATCAAGCGTGGGAAGGAGGAGGAGCAGAGCGAGGAGGAAGAGGAGGAGGAGCAGAGCGAGGAGGAAGTGGAGGAGGAGCAGAGCAAAGAGGAAGAGGAGGAGGAGGAGCAGAGCGAGGAGGAGGAGCAGAGCGAGGAGGAGGAGGAGGAGGAGCAGAGCGAGGAGGAGGAGCAGAGCGAGGAGGAAGAGGAGGAGGAGCAGAGCGAGGAGGAGGTGGAGGAGGAGCAGAGCGAGGAGGAGGAGGGGTAGAGTGAGGAGGAGGCAGAGAGAGGAGGAGCAGAGTAGGGAGCAAGGAGCGACGAGTAAGAGGAGGAAGAGAGGGAGGAGAAGGAGGAGGAGGAGGGACGGAGTCAGGAGGAGCAGAGCGAAGAGGAGAAGGAGGACGACGAGAGAAGAGCCTGCCAGGGTGAAGAGAGCGGAGCCAAGAAACAGCAGGAGCAGAGAAAGACCGAGAGAAGAAGGAGCCAGGCATAGTGAGAGTGTGGGAGGACTTAGCTTAGTCCTGTGCACAGGGTCTGGGGGTCTGGAGGTCTGGGGAGAAGGAGCAAAAGGATCTGTGGAGGAGGAACAGAACATGTCAATCATGACTGCAAACATTGAATTCGGAGAACATATAACTGATGAGCTAAAGCTGGGGTACGTAACTTTCAAAGCACAATAAATGGAACTCTGTACGTCCACATAGCGAGCTCTACCAGTGGTTTTCACATTATTGTTTTCATGAATAATACCAGACCTCAACATGCTGTTGTACCTTTGATAAGACTCATACTTGTCAGAAAGAGCCCTGTGAGTCACTATTTGACCCTTTGGGCTGAGAGCTGATTGGCTGAGTGAGGGTGGACCACTGTTTTTCACTTTTTCTTTCTGAAAAAGCTGATCGAAAGACGTCACAGAGGCCAAAAATACATGATGTGAAAACTGCAAGGGACACTTGCTTTAGTGGATTGGAAGTTAGGTACCCCAGCTTTAAGGCAACACATGCATCACTTTGTTGTCCTGATTTATTTTGTTTTTTCTGCCTTTCTTACCACAGATGTGTTCACGTTTTGTGGTCATTGGAAAATGGTTCTACAGAACGTGTTTTCTGATCAACCATGGTGTGGTCTGATTTGTTCACAAAATGTTACTTTTTCAGAAAAACAAAGTGAGGAACCCCAGCTTTATTATGATTTCATATTCAGTCTTCATCTCTTTCATACTTTTACATCCTGTCAAATAAATGTATTTGTTAAATCAATCCAAATATACAAAAGATTTTTCTTACAGTGACGGACCCATAAGTTAGAGCCAGCTGTTTGACTCGTGTCATTTAACAAAATGATAAAAAGACAATTAAAGCTGTGCTCTAAAGAGGCATTAAAGCTAGGGGACTTAACTTTTTACCCCATGAACAATATGTTTGTCTCAACGGAGGGAGAACAAATGAGACAATAATAAGCTGTTTATCTTAAGAAACATGTTTTCTTTTGCATATTGTAAGAAAGACCCCTGTGAGCCACTATTTGACTTTGAGAGCTGATTGGCTGAGTCCTCTCTTTCTCAGGTTCTGTCTGAAAAAGCAGGCCAAAAATACATGATGTGAAAGCTACATCACTTTAAATGAGTGTCAGATAGATAGATATATACTTTTTAAAATTGATAGCTAACATTAGTAATAATCAGGTCACAGCAGCAGAGATGGAGTTGCCCCTGGGTGGAGCAGGACGGGTCACAGCAGCAGATATCAGTTGTAGTAATGGTTGTTAATATTGTATCATTGATATTTTATGATGCACGTGCAGGAGCTGACAGCACAAGAGCACTAATATGTAAGTCTAAACTCACATAAACCTGCTTTAACTATGTCCAAGTCACTGTGTCTGAGTAACACGGGCCAAACCCATATAGACTAAACAGGGAAAGTGGAAAGCTCACGTTTTGTGGTCAAGAGTCTCACAAACCGGACAGAAGGGGTCAGCAGGTGGTCAGCGGGTGTTCAGGAGCAGTCTGAGAGTCAGTGGTAAGCAGTGATGTCTCCTGGAGGAAGATATCGTCGAGTGAAGTTTCACCAAATGTGTTTGTGTCGCAGCCAAAGTTTTGCGCATATGCACTGATTCAAAAGATGCACAGTTTTAAAAGATGCCCTTAGCAACAGATGACCTTAGCAACGCGCCCCTGACAAGAAGATGCACGCGCGCTGTGTCTTTGATGACTTTGAGATCTAATGTGCAGCATATTACTCTCAGCAAAACAACGATGTCAAAAGCAGTCTGTGTGCCTGAGCCGTTTTCATCCTCCGCGTCTTTTACGCACGGGCTGCGGCTGATCGTGGCTCAAACACTGTCACACACGCACGCAATCCTGACAGCTGTTCTACAAGTTCTGATCCTGCAGCTTCAATAGAAACAACTGAAAGCGAGACACGTGCTGTGTTCATCTTAGGAAACATATTTTATTTTGCATACTTGAAAGAAAGAGCCATGTGCGCCACTGTTACACTCAAAAACGGACTCAGGCCTCTCTTAAAAGTGACACATTATGTATTTATTTGCTTCATTATTATATATTGGGTACAACCATAAACCAAATAGATATGTTCATTGTAAACTAAAATCTTTTTTTTTGCCAAATCACTCTTTAAGGTGACAAATTCCTATTTCATGTTCAAAATGAATAAACATTTCTTTTAACAGCATTCAAAAAAATGTATTCCTGAAAACCTAACTGATTTACATGAAATGATTCCCTCTTCGATGTGAACACATTGATTTTTCATTTGCCTAAAGAAACTGTTTACCAAACAGTCAAGTATATTGTTTACATGTAACTATCTTTTTTCTCATAGATATTCAACAAATCAGATTGAAATAGTTTTGAAAAACAAACAGAAATAGTCTTATCTAAACTTTAATGTATTACATGCTTTGAACCTAAACCGATTGCATACTTGATTATTTAGCCTCGCTGAACCCGAAACAAACTTTTGGTAACTTGCGTCACCCCGGGTTCTCTGAGTAGCATCGGGTGTTCACAGAAGTCCCATACCATTAGGCCCTGAGTGGCTGGAAGTGGTGACCCCAAGCCACTATAAAAGCCACTTGTACGACATCAACCGTCATTCAATGCGCACACCTCTTCTCGCTTCACCCTCAAAGCAAGAAGAGCAATCTGGTGAGACATCTCACTCATACTACTCAGAGAACCGGGGTTCATATTCGTTTTGATGTCTCGCTACGGGATTTGGAGACTCCCATATTGCCAGACGATCTGAATCTGAATGGACTGTGAGCCATACAAACAAACAGGAGTTTTTTGCTTGTGCTCCAGGCCTTTCTTTGTGGAGTTTGCATGTTCTCTCTGTGTCTGTGTAGATCTCCTCAGCATGCTTCGGTTTCTCCTACCACTAAAAACCATTTTCGAGTCCTTTCAGCTCAAACAATCATCGAACAATGATTTGTATCATTTCATTTCTTAGGAACCTTTTTTGACACTGAAGGTTGCTTTACATACAAGTGAAAAAAAAGAAGTTAATTTTAAAAACAGTTAGAATATAAGTTTTAAATAAAACGTTTAGAGCAGCATGAACAGAGGATGGTGTCGTTATGGCGTAAGTGAATAAATAAGAAGAGATACGTCACCACTTGAGATATCAATGACTCATGCGTAATGTGCTGTAAATACAAAGTATACAAAGTGTAAATGCCTTGCAAATAAACTTGCAAGGCAAGTTTATTTGTGCAGCACAATTCATACACAAGGCAACTCAAAGCGCTGAACAAAACAAAATAAGATAGTAGTAACAATGTGGGTCAGCACAAATACGTTCAGTTTTTTAGATTGTTTATGAATAATCTTTAGCAGTAATACAGTACAAAATATATAGGTCAAAGTGAGTGAATGGATGGTGACGGTCTTCTCGCTTCTGTCATCCCTGTGTGTGGAGAGAATGGAATATATAGATTTGCATTGTATAAATCAATTCACTTATATTTGTAGAGCGCACCTTACAACCCATATTACATCATGCATAAAACATAAACATAAAAAAATACAATTAAAATCCCAGCGGACATTAAAAACAAGATCACAAGAAATAATAAAAACATAAAATTGAACTCATCTTTTTAGACATGCCTACTCACTAACATCATAACTCTCCTCTGTCCATGATGCTTTTAACTTTGTATTTTAACTGTTTTTAAAAATGCACTTTTTTACTTGTACGTATGGCGACCTTGAGTGTCAAGAAAGGCGCCTAAAAAATAAAACGTATTATTATTATTATTAAAATGGAGTTGAATTACAGAAATAACCTCTGAACAATATTGTGCTTATCACATGTGAGTAGAGTGTGTTATTCTCTGAAACCAGTGCCTTGAGTTAGGCCCCTGATGTCTCCAGCTCAGTCACATGTCGGGCCCCAGGAATGTGAGGTCAGCGCTGATCCACGGCCGCAGTCGTGAGGTGTCATGAGGTGTAAAGTAAGTTAGTGATAAAAGATGAAGTGTTTGTTTCCTCTGGACATAAACTTTACACATCATTGAAAAGCCCCCACAGACCCTGAGAGGGATCATAAAAACCAGCGCGTTGAATCTGGTGATCATTGACTTTGTACAATTGTCCCGTTATTCATCTGCATTCAAAAGGTATGGATTTATGTTCAAGGATTGCATTCATTGGAAAGATTCATTATAAAGCATGACACATTCTTTATAAAGATTTGTGGATTAGATGGTCCTTTGAGTTCAGGGTGTCATCCAGCCAACTTCAACAATTCATACCTTCTTTCTCAACGGATTGGACACAATTGGTTTAGAGCATGGGTGTCAAAGTCAAGGCCCGGGGGCTAGATCCGGCCCACGAATGTATTATGTTGGCCCCCAGGATGATATTTGATTAGAATCAGATAATATTGGATAATTCATTTAATGTTCAGGATGTGTGTTTTCTCTATGAAGGAAGTTTTTGAGCCTGTTGACATTTTTTTAAACTTGAAATTACTGACAGAGCCAAACAAAAAATAAAGTACGGTCCACTGTTAGGTCTTGGTTCAACATGTTATACGCAATAATTTTTATGTGTTTTAACATTGAACTAGTTCGGTCCTCGGCTTGTAGCAAATTAGTTTTTATGGCCTCTGATGTATTTGACTTTGACATCCCTGGTTTAGATCAAACCTGTGTCAAATATTGGATTCACATTTTTACGATTTGAAAGCTAACACTACGACAACATACCGTCTTCATCTTTTGCATAGAGAAAAAGATCCCTTTGAGTCACTATTTGCTGCTTTAGCCTGAGAGCTGATTGGATGGTCCTCTCTTCTTCACTTTTTTGTCTGAAAAAGTTGATCTATAGCTGTGACAGAGGCTATACATACACACAGCACATGTGAACACCAGTGATATAACCAAATTGTTTTACATGGATTGTCTTACATAATTTTATGCGGTTTGAAGGTTAGGTACACTAGCTTTAATACATTACTCAGGGCACTTAGCGTAGCAGATTTATGATAGAATTGGGTCACATTGTTTATTTGCTCAAATGAACCACAATCAAACTCAGTTCAAGAATCCCAGAAGTGGCTGGATTACACATTTTATCACACGTCTCATTTTTCCAGGAACAAGTGTTTTAAGTTTGCTCATCACCCGCGGTATAAATGTTTCTAGTAACTGTCCTGGTTATCACTTGTAATCATAAATTACAGCATGGAACAAACAATGGATTTGTAGAGAGAGCGGTTTTTTCCCCCTCCAGGCTTTCTCTCCGAGTCTCTCACCATAGCTCACAGAGATGCAGTCAGGTGCTGATCACAAGACTGCTGGTTTAATCCCCAAGTCTACAAAAGCATGCACAAAATCACTTTCTCTCTTAATGCGCGTAAAGCCCACTGGAACACAACATGATCCACCTCTAATTCTCTGATTTCCGACTATTGCTGAGACTAATTTGAAAGATACACAGGGAAAGAAAGCGTGGAAAACACATTCTCTACGCCTCTCCTGGGGGAAATGATTTAAACCAAAACAAAGAAAATGATTAAGTTTGTCTGCGCGGTGGTGATATGTTTGCTGGTAGGGACTGGCCCGGCCGTTGGGCAGTTTCCCCGCTCTTGCTGCACAGTGGAGGGCATTCAGACCAAGCGGTGCTGTCCGGTCTTGGGGGCAGATCCGGGGAATGTGTGCGGAGCTCTGGCCGGGCGTGGAGCCTGCGTGCCCGTGAGGGTGGACAACAAGCCATGGGGAGGACCGTACCATCTCAGGAACGTGGACGACAGAGAGAGGTGGCCCACGAAGTTCTTCAACCAGACCTGCAGGTGCAATGGTGAGTGACGCCAGGAGGTAGTATGAGATTCAGATTCATCACTGCAAAAAGTGATGAAAATTAAATCAAAAATGTCTCAAATTTGGTAAAATGCATCCTAATTTAAGCTTCAGATTTGCCAATGGGACAAGCATAATGATCTTGTTTTAAAAAGATACAAGAAATATCTCTCTTGGAATGATAAAAATAAAACTCCAGTTCTGAAAAAAGAAACTAACTGGCCTTGTCCTATTGGCGAATCTTGTTTTAAGACAGTCAGAATGTACTCAAATTAAGGTAAAATCCACTTGATTCAAGCATTTATTACCTCACATGTTATCATTTTTGCAGGGAAGATTCATTCTATTTGCTATTTCCAGTAAAACAACATTGGAATACAAGTGTAAAAGTACCCCAGTGTGCACCAGGCAAATGCATCCATCAATCAACCAAGGTCGCCTAAAAGTTCTTGGTTGAGTGACACGAGGAGGCAAACGTATAAGATTCATTTTATTTGTCATTTGCTGTAAATAACAAATGCTAATAAATAGATGCAGTGGGTTGGATAATGTAAATCTGTGTCGCTCATTTGACCTGCTTTCAATGTATTACAAAAAATAATTAAAAAAATAATACAGTTTTGGTCAAGATTGTCTTTACAAAAATAAAAAAAAGCTATAAGTTATCATTTGCCCAAAAAAAGATTAAAACAAAAAAACAGTACATTACTCAAATCACTTACTCAGAAAATGTGAAAATAGATTTAAATAATGACGACAATAATCTTGCCTTCACAAATCGATTTTATGCCAATATTTGTGTATACATAGATTTATACATGTTTGCCGTACATAAACATTTATTATTATTTTTAGCATTTTGGTTTGAGACTGTTCAATACTTTTGTACATGAAAATGAAAAAGTATTGCATGATATTTTTTAAGCATTTTGACATCGAATTGCCTTGTATACAAATTGTGCAATACAAATAAATGTTGATTGATTTTAGGTGTAAGCCCACAGTAAAGAAGCCCATTTTGACTACTGTAGAATCACAAGTTTCTCTTTGTTCTTGTCTTCATTGTTTCTAGGCAACTTTGCTGGTTTCAACTGTGGTGACTGTAAGTTCGGGTGGACGGGGCCAAACTGTGACCAGCGGAGGGCCCCTGTGGTCAGGAGAGACATCCACACGCTGAGCCCGGCTGAGCTGCTGGACTTCCTGGACGTCCTGGACCTGGCCAAGACGGCGGTGCACCCGGACTACATGATCGCCACGCAGCACTGGCTCGGTGTGCTGGGGCCCAACGGCACAAACCCACAGTTCAGCAACATCTCCATCTACGACTTCTTTGTGTGGCAGCATTACTACTCTGTGCGCGACACTCTGCTCGGTGAGGACTGTTGTGTGCTGTGGAAAGGAGGAAGGACCCAAAATACGGGAATGCAAAAAATAAGGATTTAATAATGATGACGAAATAAAAGTAGAGAGAAAAGACAAAAACAATATAAAAAAAAACAAAAACCTCAGGAACCAGGATGACAGACGGACAAAGACAATGGACCAGCAACAAGGGACCAGCAACATGGGGAGAGGAGCACAGGTTACATACGTATATAGTACATATTCAGAGATGCAAAGGTGAAACACAATAGGGCGGGGCAGACAATCAACACGGGGCAGGGACAGGAAGTCAAAATAAAACCAAGCAAATAACACAAAATCCACACCATGACATGTACACCAATGACCATTCCAATAACTTCAATCTTTAATTCAGACATGTAAACAGTCGTTACATGATATAAATCGTTAGACACAAGTATACACAAACAACATATAATATTTAAAAAAGGCTTTCTATAGACCAGGTATGTTAATCTCTATGAATCTACGGCAAAATCCGGCCCACAAGACCAATTTTAGTGGCCCCCTGAAAAGATTTTCAATTATCATTATGACATTGACTTGAGGTATTGTATGGAAATAGGCTACTGTGGCATGTTTTACCTCATTTTAAATAAGTGTACTGTCAGGAAAACAACCTTATCATTGAATCTGTTCTAAAATGTAATAGTAGTCACTAGTCGTTATTAAACAGTCTGGAAATACATCTCTTCTCAATATTTGGCCTAGTTGTGATTATCAGAAAATAATAAACAAACTCCGACCAATATTAGTTTGACGCCACTGCTTTAGACAAATCCTAAAACAGTAGTTATTTCGGAGGACTTTACAAAACCAATGATTCGCCAACACAACACATCGTACACTACTATTAAAGACGTTTAAAGTCATTCTCAGGAAATAAATATCCCTGATTTTTGTCAAGTAGCTGTATTCCTCTTGCTACAATGTTCAAGAAGGGGTTAAAAGTTTTTTTGCGTGGCGCTTAACATTCCTCTGGCTTTCCCCAAAAAAAACTCAAATTGTAATCCTTTCAAATACTGTTTTTATGTATGTTATTTTCAAATGTATACTATTCTGTTACACTTCATCAACATTTATGTATAACTTATTGTATTGTGTTGATAAGATAAGAGCAAGGACATATCTTTCCAAGAGACTCACTTCAGATTCACTCCATAATACAAACAAGTCGCTTATTTTCGTCCTTCACTTTTACCACATTATTCAGTATGTGCTTGTTTTTGGCTGTAGGTCCTGGGCGTCCGTTCAAAGCCATCGACTTCTCGCACAAAGGGCCGGCCTTCATCACATGGCACAGATACCACCTGCTGAGCCTGGAGCGAGATCTGCAGGTCAGACATCTCACCCACTGATAATCTCTTGTTTTGCGGTTAAAGAGATATCATCTGACATATTTCATGTTTGTCCAGAGGCTGAGTGGGAATGAGAACTTTGCGATCCCGTACTGGAATTTTGCCACTGGTCAGAGCGACTGTGACGTGTGCAGAGACGACATGCTGGGGGCCCGGGATGCCGCCAACCCCTCCCTCATCAGCAGGCAGTCCCGCTTCTCCAGATGGGGCGTGGTCTGTAACAGGTAACTCCAACTACCACAAATGGACTGTAGCTTCTAGAGTGGAACTGGTGTGAAATATTGTATCAAGATTAGTGTTTTATCTTTCACTTCAATTCAACTCAATATATTTTTGAAAACCCCAAATCACAGCAGACGTAACAAGACCATTGAATTAGCCAAAACAGATAATAAAAAAAAAAGAGCCATTGGTCCATAACTAGCCTGGCCTTAGCCATCCGTACACTCCGTTCAATCATCATTTCACTGCATGTAACGTCCGGGTCTGGTCCCTGTGTTAGCGATTACAATCGGTTGAATTTCGACCGACCATTCAGAGAGCGCGGAAGGCGGGTGTTGTAGTTAGTTGTGGGTGACGTCAAGAGTTTGCCTCGAACGGAAAGGTTGTGGTTTGGCAATGGTAAAAAATGGTAAAGTAATCCGATCTGGTTCCATTAGGAAATCAAAGCCGGAGCAAGAGTAATGTTTAGCAAATGTAATCCCTGGAATAATTGTGGCGCTACTCCCCACGGGCTCCGTTGCTAAATGCTAATTGCTATCGACTCACTACGTACTCAGATCCAATCTTTTCAATCTGCAAAAAGGAGTTAACCCCTCCCACCTGTTCACGGAGCTCAATGGAGCACCTCCAGACCTTAGTACGAAATGTAATTTGTACTATGGTGTGGTACGACCAGGCTAGTCCATAACGGGCAGATGACCAATGTCCATAGATGTTGTTGAATGTTAGGTGCAGACTTCTTTTGCCATGAATGTACAGTATAACTACACACACTCACACACTCACACACACACACACACACACACACACACACACACACACACACACGCACGCACGCACGCACGCACACACACACACACACACACACGCACGCACGCACGCACGCACACGCACACACACACAAATATGAAAAAACAAGTTAAATGCACAACTCTTTTGAAGTGTTGCACATTGTGAAGGTACTTTTTTTGGTCATGTTCTCGTGCACTCTGAGCGGGCTTTCATCTCGTATCAACCATGTTCGCTGCGGCTGTAAGACAAAGTGCATATTTCTAATAAGAATAGAAATAAAATCACCCCGTTCTCTTCCAGTTTGGACGACTACAACCGGCTGGTGACTCTGTGTAACGGCACGAACGAGGGCTCCATCCAGAGGGGCGTGATGGAGGGCAGTAACATGTCGCTGCCCACCATGAGCGACGTACGCAGCTGCCTGGGCATCAGAGAGTTCGACAGCCCGCCTTACTTCACCAACTCTTCCTTCAGCTTCAGGTACAAGTCATTTACTATTGATATCTACAAACAAGAGCATGGAGCAGAGATACACACATAAATATATATAAACAATTAAACACTCAGACCAGACACAGGCCCATATCAAGGCCACACTCTCTGACCCTACACCTCGCTCCCATCACTTCCGTGCCGAAGGCTTTCTTTGTAACACATCCCACAATTCTGAGTATTTGTCTTTGTGTGTGTGGCAGAAACGCTCTTGAAGGCTATGAAAGGCCAGACGGGGAACTGGATGAAACAGTAAACAACCTTCACAATCTCGTTCATTCCATGCTCAATGGCACGAGCGCTTTGTCCCACTCCGCCGCCAACGATCCTATTTTTGTGGTAGGAATTATTCATCTCGGGTCAATTTTCAGTGGCTGTGCTCTGATCTATTTTACAAAGTCATTTTTTTTTTCTTTACAAGGTGCTGCATGCTTTTACCGATGCCATTTTTGACGAGTGGATGAGAAGGTTCGTCCCGTCCAACGCCACGTTCCCGGACGAGATGGCCCCTATAGGACACAACAGGGATTACAACATGGTGCCCTTCTTCCCTCCTATCACTAATGAGGAGATCTACATTACCTCGGAGCAGCTGGGGTACTCCTACTCCATCGCTCTGGGTAGGTTCAGTTACTATATGTGTCTGAATAGGTGCCACAAACTGGCTCGAGGTTCAGACAAAAATGTCCACACGTGTTTAAAAATGTACAGAAATAGATTTATTTAAAGAGACTGGTTCTGCATGGTGAGAGGCCTCCATTGTTCTTCTTCTTTGAGTTATTGGTGGGTGGCAACCAGAAGCTTAGGTGCGTACGTAACCTACTGTGTGGATTGATAGGAGTTGACAACTTTGACCAAACTCGCCTCAGAACGCAGTAAAAGTGACTTTTGTGTATTAATTTGTTTGTATTTAAACTTTTTAAACAATTGACAGACTTTATGTCCGCCATCTTGGTTTGCTTCGGCTGTTAATTTTGCCTCCCGAGCACCACGAAACGAAAAACCTAAACTTCACAATAAAAAGTAGTACTAAGTTAAACATTAAGGCCGGCCTAAATACATCATAGCTTATGTACAAAAACAATAAAAAGAAGCAAAACAAAGGGGCAAAAAACTGAAACTGAAATCTTTAATTCTGATCCAATCTAGGTATTACAAGCTCATTAACACTATAAAAAGATTACATTCATTGACATTTCAGTATAGCAAAACAAGACACATCTAAGTAGCTTACATTCAATTCATTCCAAGGGGGGCATTCATTTCCAACAGTCATGTGACCATGGAAATGTGACTGGAAAAAAAGATTAAAATAAAAAACCAGAACATAAGATTAACAGGCTTCAGTGTATCTCTGTACTTGCATATTTTCACATACTGTATATCACCATGACAACACAGATAAACACGCGTGGATGAAATGCTTGGTACTTGTTGTTGCAGAGGCCGACAGCAGCTCTCCGGTGGTGGTCCTGGGCTCCACTCTGGGGGGGGTCTTCGTGGGGCTCCTGCTGCTGCTGCTGCTCCTGGTGCTCTACACGCGTCAGCGCAGAAACTCTGGATTTGAGCCGCTGATAAAAGCAGACTTCACCAACAGGAAGTACACGGAGGAGGCCTAGAGTGAACCGGCTGGGAACTATTAAAGCTGGAGGACCTAACTTTTAAACTCCAAAAACTTTACAATGTGAGCAAAACCATGTACACTACAAAAAAATATCAAATATGAGTAGTTATAGTTTTTTGAATTGAGTGGTTTTTATCTTGATTTGAACGTTTTGACTTTATTAAAACAAGATTTTCCAATGGGACAAACCATTTAGTCTAATTTCAAGAACCGTTTCTGTATTTTCTCATTCCAAGGGAGACATTTCTTGTATATTTTAAAAACAAGATAATTCTCCTTGTTCCATTGGCAAATCTTGTTTTGAAGGCCGTCAAAATGTGATCAAATTACAATACATTTTTTCAATTTCAGACATTTTTGGCTTATTTTTCTTCACTTTTTGCAATGTAACTAGTTCTTTGTTCCCAAAACAGTTTGGTTCTGTCACTAGTTTTCACATGCATGTATTTTTGGGTATTTTATACAGCTTTAAATCAGCTTTTTCAGGCAGAAAAGAGAGTAATAGAAACCCTCACTGTTACTGTATGTAAATGATAAAGTGTATTCTAATAAGTTGAAAACAGCATGTTGTGGTCGGATTTGTGCACTAAATACTTTCTGTTGGGACAAACAGAGACTAAATCAAAGTTTTATTTATGAGACTAAATCAAAGTTAGGCTCCCCAGCTTTAATGTGCTTGTTTTGTACAAGGAAACTCAAAAACACTCATATTTATCTACAGTACTTGAAATGTGACAAAAATGAAGAACTTGACTTTATACTAAAATGTGATTCTGAATTTATATGCAAATAATATAATTGTGAGAATAACACTGATTTCTTTCATAATTTCACTAATATTCTCTAATCATATGTGAATGACACACACAGATTCCTCAGAAGTGTTTTTTCTCATTTTATTGCAAAAATATTAGCATTAAAAGTTCAATGATACAAAACATAAAAAGGGCATCTTTTCAGATCCATAATAAAGACTTCTCTCGGATATTTTCTCAACGAAAAAAGGCGGTGGATTATTCAGCGTTAGAAAAGCATGACTTCAGTCGTTCTTTTCAAAAGTGAAATATGTGAATGTTGAAAATGTTTTTAGATTGTTGACAGTTTTTTTTCTCGCACCTTCTCTCTTTTTTGGTTATGAAACTTGTACCTGGATGTGCAAACACTGCAGAATAAACATATTTGCGGTGATGACCCTGGATGAGAAACATTTTTAAAGTGCATGTGATTTATTTCATTAAAACATGAATCCTTTATATACGTTTTCACAACTGCTTTCCTTCATTGACGACATTTGGGAAAAATATGTTTCCTGGTTTGGCATTGGCAGCAGATATAACAGCTCTGGTAATGATTATTATAATTACTATTATTATAAATAAATGCTCAGACTGCAGTCACTACACATCTGAAAGTAAATCCTGATGGACACGCTCTTTTACAGCGGTTTGCAAAATTACGACTGTTCAAACTGCTCTCAATCTAATCTGACGGAATAGATTTGTAAATATGAATAGACTAAACTTTCCCTCTCTTTTTGACTATGACTATAACACTTAATAGTCATACCCAAAAACACTTGCTGTTGTCATTAAATCAAAATGTTAAGCAGGGGAGGCTAGGGTTAGTACAGTGATGGGAGACCTCTGGGAACACCAGCCACAGTGGGGCAGCTGAGGCAGTAATGTACCAAACTGTCGTTGTGTCCTTAGACAAGACACTTCATCCACATTGCCTAGAATGAGTCTGATGTGTGTGAATGGCTGGTGGTGGTCAAAGGGGTTGATGACACATACGGGTTGCCTCGATTCTGTCAGTGTGCCCCAGGCAGCTGTGGCTACAGTAGAAGCTTATCACTGCATCTGAAGCGTCTCTCAGAGTCCAGAAAGTGTTGAATAAAACCACAATGTATTATTATCACTATTATTATGAGATTCTGTAGCTGTGCAAGCCCCAAATGTCAGTTTAAACAAAATCAAGTATCATTTTGATTTCACTTTCAGTTGACTTCATTTTTCTATTACTTTGTTGTGGGCTTTCCAAAAAAGTAAAATCTTTGTTTGTGCTTGGAAACATGTGCAAAAGTGCAAGTTATAGCAGCACTTTTGCAAGCCACTGATATTCAAATGATGATTACACTGCGGTGATGGATGCAGCCAGACAGTTTTTGCCGCATTTTTTTTCAATGTTTGTTGGATTAATTTATCTACATAATGATAAAATAATAATTGGTTAACAAATACAAATATATGACATGTTTTTATATCAATCAGTGCCATTTACCTCCTGATAGTTTGAATTTTCTTGTCAAACTACTTTAACTTGTATGGTAAATGAAATAGTAATTTCTGCTTGATAAACGGCTGGTCATGTATAGATAGATAGATAGATATAGTAGATAGATAGATAGATAGATAGAGCTGCTCATTTTATTTGACTGTTTTGCAACAACCTGCTTGGGGATTACAGGTGTAAATTAGCACTGCTACTACAACCTGGCACAATGCATATCTCCTCTTGGCTAATGTTTATTGTTCACTGTCCCTGTAAAAATAAAAATCATACCATACCAATCTAAGGTAAACAAATACATATAAACAAAAAATTATAACATTCTGCCAAATTCACATTGGATCATTGGGAGTAAAATCATATCGTCCATATTTCACTTTGAACAGAAAAGACAGAAGTCAATGCGTTTGCCATTAGTGTACTTGTACGTATGTGTGTGCGTGTGTTTGTGCGTGTGTGTGTGTGTGTGGACGGAGCACGTGGATGACACTCTCTCTTCAGCTGACCGCCCGGCCGAGACCGCCGCACTCTCTCATTTCACAGGTGACTGTAGTCTGTCCGCTCCGCCTCACAGATAAATGCAGGCACCTTTTCTTTGCATTTTCCAGAAAGCACCGAGTCATTTTACACGTTACATTCTTTCCCAAACACTCCATTTTGATTTAGTCGTAGTAGGTTGAGGAAAAACGTGGTTCTTTTTGTGCAAGTTATCTTTCAATATAAGTGATTCTGTACATATGTTTTTAATGTTTTGTTGAGAGATTTGTGTATTTTTGTTAGTGCAGTATTGAGATGTCTTGGTGAATGTAGTGTTTTAACATGTCGGGAAATGTGTTTAAAGCTGAGGTACTGAACTTTCAAACCACAAAAAAAAGAAACATTCCTGACTCGCAAAACAGTTTGGTTCCATCACTAGTTTCCAAAGGTATGTGTGTATATTTGGCCTCTGTCACAACTTTAGATCCCTTTTTGTCAGACAGAAAAGTGAAAAAGAGGATCGCCCTCACTCCATCCTGGGTTTGACAGAGTTTGAGAGGAGTTTGCATGTTCTCCCCGTGTCGGCTCCGGTTTCCTCCAGGTGCTGCGGTTTCTCCTATCACTATAAAACATGCACAATAGGCATAATCCTTCAGCTCTGGTAGTCCTGACCAAGCCGAGCATGAACATCTGGAGATGGGTTCCTGGGCGCTGTTACTACGGCAACCACTGCTCCTGATAGACGCCAGGATGGGTCAAATGCAGAGGATGAATTGCCAGACGGGGAAATATAAACCTTTACCTTTATCTAGAGACTCACAGGGCTCTTTTTTCATCAAACCAAATTTCTCAATCGTGAGATCAAGAAAGTATATCTTCTTCTTCTTTAAAAGCATGCAAAAAATCTAATACTAATATTTGGCTTATGATTAGTTCTTAACTCTGTATGTTGGGACTAATATGACTTATCTATTGAAAAAAAGATGAAAGTTATGTACCCCAGCTTTAATAATATTATATGCGTTTTATACTACAGGTCACCTCAACTTGAAAGATAATATACTGTATGTCTGTAAATAACACTTGGCCAGGCGGTCGAATATGGAGAGGTTTTGGAGAATGTTTTGCTAACGGTTTTAGAAAAGACAAGAGCAAGGCAGATCCAGTAAGATATAAGTACTGAAATTCATCATGGATATGGAGAAACATTTCAGCATAAATGTAAAGTTGGCACATGGTATAATAAAACTTCTCTAAACACAGAAATCAAACGTTCCTGTGCTCCTTATATCATTTCCCTATGACATTTTAAAATATATTAGAACATATTGTAAACTTTTTCATCCAAAGAAAACCCCTTTTCTCCACATTTTGCATTGAACAAACCAAAGTGCGTAACATTTTTTCCACATAGACACCTACAATTGACCAGCCGTAAGTGCAAAGACTTTCTCTTTAGTCTCTAGATCTGCAGAGTCCTACAGTTGGGGCCTCAGATCATCAGATCACATGATGAAGTGACGCCGTGAAGTTCAAACGTTGGCAATACTTATCTTTGGGAAAAAATAGGAACTCATCGCTGCCCCCTGTTGAGAGCAGACTTCAGGCTTCAGGCTCCTCTGTGGCTCCAAACACGTATCCTCCAGCATTATCTCCACTGCTGTAGAAGTGTGAGGGCCCAGAGCAGGAGGGCGGTCGGCGTGTGGAGCGAGGAAGAGGCCCCCACGGGTTCACTGCGGTCCGCCTCCACCACGGGGGCTTCGGACGCAGGGCTGGTGGCCTCTGTGGTGGGACAGTCGTCTGTGCAGCCGCTGCCCGAGCCGGAGCCGCTGCTCTCATCGCCTGCAACAAGCGCAGAAAGTAAGTAAGTAAATATGTAATCTTCATTTATATAGAGGCGACAATGGTGCAGTTGGTAGAGCATAGGCCTTAGAGCCTGATGATCGTGGGTTCGAGTCCACCACAAGACCTACTTCACAACTCCCACTGATGACTGCTGTCGTTGTGTCCTTGGGCAAGACACTTAACCCCACTTAGCATGAAGCCCCTGCTGAAAGATCTCAGCTCCTGTGGACTCACCACCTGCAGGAGGATCAGTGAGGGGCTGGTGCTCTGTGTACTGACTGTCACCCCCCAACCCAGAAATGGATTAAGGGGAAGAAGATGGATGGATGGCATTTATAGAGAATACACAGTTCTTTTTACTTTATACTTCTTATTATGCCAAAGGTAGATATTTTATACTTCTTTATTATGCTTATTAAGTCAGAGTCATTTGTACTCATTATGCTAAAGATAATGGGGGCAACAGTGGCTCAGTTGGTAGAGCATTGGCCTCCTAATGCTGTCTGCTGTCATTGTGTCCTTGGGCAAGATACTTGAATGAATGAATGAATATTCTAGAGATAGAGATTTTATACTTGTTTCTTCTTCATGCTAGAGTTATAGATTTTTATTTGATTGTTTTTAGTACAGAGTTATTGTTCATTTATCTTGTGCTAGGTGCTACACTGTTCTGTAACTGGTGATGCAACACCAAAATGTCCCCCCTGTGGGACGAATAAAGAATCTCTTTATCTTAACCTATAGTGCATTTTGCAAAAAAAAAGGTCAAACAGGCACTAAGGCCAAGGTGCTATGGTCTCAACACAGCGGTGGAACATTGCGAGTTTCTATATTGCGGCACATTGTCTTAAAGTGCTTTACAAATGTTGAGAGTTCAGATGTTTTCCATTCTCTCCACACACGGCAATGACGGAAGCGAGACGACGAATACACTAAAGCATCAAAGCCCCCGGCCGACACAGTTCACTCACTCACTTAAAATAGAATAGATCTTAATTGTCTGTTCAAAATGAGCAGAGATTTGTCTTACAACACGGCACAATTAAAATAATTTATAAAACACATTTAAAATACATTTATCAAACAGTTAATAATTTATGCAGTGCTATCGGTTGTTTAGGGAAGTGACTGCAGACGGGACAAACAATCTCTTGTAGATGTTTTTTCGGGCCAGCGGGGTTCTGTATCTCCTTCCTGATGGCAGCAGAGAGAAGGAGCCATACAGTGGGTGTGTGGCATCTTCAGTGATGAGAGTGGCCTTTCTCAGCACTGATCGGCTGTTTGTGGTTTGTGGTGTTTGGGTGATTTTGCTGGCCTGTTTTACTATACTATTGAGTTTTGTCCTGTGTTTGAGAGTGATTATTACATTCATACATACTGAACATGTTTTTAGTGGTAGGGAAACCGGAGCACCCGGAGGAAACCTACGCAGACATGCTTTGCTACTGGTTCCAAACACCATCCATCCATCCATCCATTTTTTTCAGCTTTATCTGTTGCCGGGTCGCGGAGGCAGCAGTCTAAGCAGAGACGCCCAGACCTACCTATCCACACACACCTCCTCCAGCTCGTCCGGGGGGACCCCAAGGCGTTCCCAAGCCAGCTGAGAGACATAGTCTCTCCAGCGTGTCCTGGGTCTTCCCCGGGGCCTCCTCCCGGTGGGACGTGCCCGGAACACCTCCCCAGGAAGGCGTCCAGGAGGCATCCTGAACAGATGCCCGAGCCACCTCAACTGGTTCCTCTCGACGTGGAGAAGCAGCGGCTCTACTCCGAGCTCCTCCCGTGTGACTGAGCTCCTCACCCTATCTCTAAGGGAGCGCCCAGCCACTCTGCGGAGGAAGCTCATTTCGACCGCTTGTATCCGCGATCTCGTTCTTTCGGTCACTACCCAAAGCTCATGACCATAGGTGAGGGAGGGAACGAAGATTGACCGGTAAATTGAGAGATTTGCCTTTCGGCTCAGCTCCCTCTTTACCACAACGGTCCGATACAGCGACCGCATCACTGCGCACGCTGCACCGATCCGCCTGTCAACCTCACGCTCCATCCTCCCCTCACTCGTGAACAAGACCCCGAGATACTTGAACTCCTCCACTTGAGGAAGGACCTCTCCACCCACCTGAAGAGGGCAAGGCACCTTTTTCCGGTCGAGCACCATGGCCTCGGATTTGGAGGTGCTGATTCTCATCCCAGCCGCTTCACACTCGGCTGCAAACCGCCCCAATGCATGTTGCAGGTCCTGGTTCGTTGGAGCCAGCAGGACAACATCGTCCGCAAACAGCAGAGATGAAATCCTGTGGTTCCCGAACCGGACCCCCTCCGGCCCCTGGCTGCGCCTAGAAATTCTGTCCATGAATACAGTGAACAGAACCGGTGACAAAGGGCAGCCCTGTCGGAGGCCAACATTCACCGGGAACAGGTCTGACTTACTGCCGGCAATGCGGACACAGCTCTGGCTCCGGTCATACAGGGACCGAACAGCCCTCAGCAGAGGACCCCGGACCCCATACTCCCGGAGGACCCCCCGAAGGACACCCCGGGGAACACGGTCGAACGCCTTCTCCAAATCCACAAAGCACATGTGGACAGGTTGGGCGAACTCCCATGAACCCTCGAGTATCCGATGGAGAGTATAGAGCTGGTCCAGTGTTCCGCGACCGGGACGAAAACCACACTGCTCCTCCTGAATCCGAGATTCGACCATCGGACGTAGCCTCCTCTCCAGTATCTTGGAGTAGACCTTAGGTACTGGCTCCTAGCACCAAATGCAAATATGAGTATACGTTATTTCTTCCTCCCATTCTTTTCTGAGTTCAAATAATACACAATATTATAATAAATCATTGTTAATGATTGATTTGTTAGAGAATTCTATGCAGTGATATTTGATTATGTTGTTTAATGTACATTGAACTCAAAATAAACATGCAAATTCCTCACAGAAAGGCCAGGAGGTGGAATCTAACCCATGACCTCCTTGCTGTGAGGCACAAGCTCTAACCGCTCTAAAGTGACAACCTACACGTGTTAATTCTCAAAAAGCACACTCACGGTTTGACCCTTAGTTCTTGTTGTGGGCTTCAACACAGCTGTGCGCACATATGACAACATAACAAAACACTGCATATGGACTGTGTTGTGTGGGAGGGAGCTACTGTGCTAAGCCGGTGCAAACGCATTTATCTTATTCTTAACAAGGGCTGTACACTTCTTTTTCTTATATTTCTGTTTTGTGTTAGTCCCCTGTGAGGCAATTTCATTTTCTACCTTTGACCCATCCCACAAGGCCAATGGCAAGACATGTGTCAGGACAAAGAAGGCAAACTCCAGGTGTAGCCAGGCTTGGTCAAGGCTGCCTTAAAGCTTGGTTCATACTCTGGTCTTCTCCATTTACACTAAAAAAACGATCTCCATCAAAGGGTGACAGACGACAGGGGCCATGTCCACACGTAGCCGGGGATTTTTAACACCAAATATTTCCCACCCTCCGTTTATAAAATAATTTGCATTCATACATAACCGGACATCTGCGTTTTCAATCACATTCATAACATTCCAAATATGTGCATCCTCTGACGTCCTGCGTTGGGGAAAAACACAGAAGTGGGCGGAGCTTCTATAGTAGCACTTTTACAGTCACAGTAGAAAGTTAGGGTAAAGACATGTTTACAAGCACTGACCCCAGTCCTCAGCCCTGGTTTAACTCCTTTTTTGGTTGTTTTCGAGCGTGAGTCCCCGTGAACACTTTGCTGCTCTCTGATGTGGCGCGAGGAACCGTTTTTAAGGCAGTAGGAGAAATGCGTCTTCAGTGATCAGAGGTTGCACGTTTTGTTTGTTGTTGTTTTGGGGGCCTACTGTGATGTGCGAAAACACGAAACTCTAGTTATGTGGATGACAGGTGCGTTACCTTGAATTTATTTGATTAAATTACACTTAATTTTCAGTCCTGCATTTTTTGTGTTCCTTTTTTCATTTCACCACATGACACCCTGTGCTTTGGAGAACCCCTTTATCTCTCCTCACTACAGCAGTGGGAGAAAATGAATACCATGTGAAGCGTCTTTGAGCACAATGCATTATTATAATCACTTTAGAGAGTGTTTTTCTTTCACTGAGAAGAAACAATGGTGTCTTAATCATCGAGAGGGATTGCATTGCATTTATCTGACACCAGCTACACAGAGAAGTATATCCTAGCCTTTAGCTGTGTAATATCCAATTGCCTGTTTTAGGCTCATGGTGTCACCTGGACATAGGGAGAACATGCAAAGTCAGGACACCAATTGTATTGCCAAGAATGAATGATTGATTAAGAAGCAGTCAATGATTTATTCAGACACAATTTTTAAAATACTGTGGGGAAAGGTCCCTAAACCCCAGGAGTAGTCAAGCTGTGTGTTTTCAATTTGGAATGGACAACCTTAAGAAAATAAATCATAAATATTTTGAAGCGGCCCGATTGGAAATAAACCAATAGGAAAGGTATGGTAAAGTCATAGATTTTATTTTGATTTATTTTTGTAGAGTTTAGTAGTTATTCTTGTGTTGTGTGCTCCCTCATTCCATCTGTTCTGTAACTGGAGATACAACACTGAAATTCCCCCACTGTGGGACGAATTAAAGGATCTCACATGGGTCATTTTGGGGAACTTTCCTCGCCTGGTTTTCTTTGTGTATAATTGTTCATAAAACAGTTATCTTTTGATGCAGAGTCAAGCAGTATACTTTGTTTTTTTCAGTACAACCTGGGGTTTTAGAATATTCATATTGTAAAGCTGTCATATGAATTATATAAAAATTATGGAATCATGAAGACAAAGAAAAAAATCAAACGGAAAATCAATTTAACAAAAATGTATTGAAAAAACACAATGAAATGCTATAAACAACTTTTTACACTGCATAGAAATGTTATTTAGGGACTTGGGGATAATGGGAAAAAAAATTGAATCTCTAACTATTATACTTTTTACAAAATTCCACTATAAAAGCAAAAAACTCTGTACTCCTGATGCCCTTCCTGAAGCAGTTTGTCTATAATGCTGGGGTTGCTTCTGTAGTACAGCTGTAAAAAACGTAAAACATAAGAAACTGAGCCAAAAAAAAAAAAACATCAATTATTTATATAATACATATATTTATATACATCATATACACATAATGTCATTTTACTGTATTTATTATCGTCTTTATCAACAATGCGCACTCACTCTTCAGCCGGTTATTGCAATCGCAGCTGTAGTTTCAACTGTGGGAGAACAAGGAAATGCAGAGGAGTGAGAGATCTCACTCTCTGACGATCTTTGGCAGTCCCCGTGTGTTTGTATCTCACAGCTGTTTGTACCTCACGGTCACGCTTTGGACACGGACTTTCAGACAAACGTAGTTTATCCTCCGTGCATCGCACAGACAAATCAAAACTAGTTTCGGAAAGCCCTGAATACGTACTTCACAGAGGAAAAAAAAGTAAGTTGCTACGTTTTACCGTTCGCGAGTAAATTGATCATTTGTAAAACATGTGCGCGTGCATCGGTGCCGATGCACGCGGGCATATAGGGTTAATTCTTAACGTTGTTTGGAGCATGGCTCGAATACATAAAAAAGTCATCAAATTGCAAATTAGTCTGAATTAAAATCTAGTTTGAATTGAAAGTCATAGCAAATACAAGTGCCCTAACAGAACGATACCCCGGCACCTACACATACACATTCCTGTCTTAATCATTGGAGCAAAAATGAAATCGTTACATGCTTTTCAATCTGATGAAGCCGTGTCTGTCTCATCATCATCACACTCCGAACCTAAATGAGGATCTGATGACACTATTATCTGGAGCACAGCCTCCTGCTCCCTCGCTGCCTCTTGTGGGCCGCTGCCGTTCATTACCTTAGCCTCAAGGTTAGACACCATTTCAAAGTAGACAGCTTATCAAGATGACTGACAAATTGGTGCATATCGGCGCTGGAAGGAGAAGTAAAAATAGGCTGGTCTTAAAAAAAAACAAAAACAAAACATTGCCTACATACAGTATATAGATCCAGACTCTTGGTGCACGTTTTTCCAATGTGGTTTTTCTGTGAATGGCTTAAAAATTCTTGAATCTTAAATCTAGATTGGCTTGGATTGACTGTACACATTGTAATGCATTGTCTTTGTTGTTATTCCTATTTATTTTTTTATGGAACAATTTGAGTCTGAAATAAAGATTAATATTATCTCACAAACCGGAGTCCTGGAAGTAGATGTCGTTGCCGTTGTATGCGTTCTTCAGTTTGTTGGTCATCACTCTCAACGCCATGATCTGCTGTCGGATGTTGGTGTCCGGCCGCGTGATGTCCACCTCCACCTCTGGATTGGTCGCCTGGTTGGTCAAGCCGTCCTTCTGCACCTCTGGGAAATACCTTTAAGAGAGGAAGAAAAAAAAATTGTTATTATTAATATGTTGTGTTATTGTCTTTGAGGGGAGAGGACAAAGAAGGCCTGGCTCAGCGTTTGACCTTATCATAGCTGCTAATGGTGGAACTCGTGAGGTGTTTCTCTGGGGAATCATGTCAGCTGAATGCATTCCGAGTTTCACAAAGGATTTACTCAATATGGAAACTGGTCTAGGTCACTCAAAATTCAGCGATATTCACACAAGAATTTTACTCGTATTTATACTTGTATACAATAGGGCACAGTGTGTGTAGATCCGACAATCTCTCTCTTTCTCTCTCTCTCACACACAGAGACACACACAAACACACACACACACACACTGACATATATCATTTGAGCAAAGTGCCAGTATTATATTTTATGTTCTGTTACTTTTGGTCTCATTCTTTCAAATCAGAATTGTGTAACAAATACTATATGTACTGTATGTATGTGCTTAGTGTTTTAACAATACAGATCCGCGTTCAAATGCTCCGTTGACGCAGAACAACAAGGGTAAAGGTTGGTGAGTTTGGATCAGTGTTGGATTACTGCCAGGGGAAAGTCAGACATGTCAAAATAAAAACGGTAAAAACAAACCTCTGACTTTCAAAATAAGTCGTCTGAAGTCAGAGCGCAGTACACCCAGAACTCCAGGAAATTGAAATAAAATGAACAGCAAAATGTTTATTATAATCCAAATGGAGCCATGTTTTCTTTCTTTTTAACAAAAACAGTTCAATAAAAGAAGGAGCAACGCAAAAGATCAAATTCAGATGATAAGACGGCTTGTTAGTCTGTCATTATGCAAAGTATTAGTAAATAATTTTTATTTATATCGCGCATTTTACAGACCAAGATCACCCAAAGCGCTTTACAATGTTCAGTGTTCAGATATAGTCCTCCATGTGACTTGTGGGGAGCTCTAAAAAAGTGTAAATGACCACTATATTTGGTCGGAGCATTCACACCACACGCCCCACCCTCGATGGGCGGCTCACGGGCCGTGCTGTTCTGACTCCCAGGTCTCGTCTAAAAACTCGAGCAGACTGGGCCTTTGCTGTTGTTGCCCCAAAACTGTGGAATAGTTACCTCTGTGCATTAGAGCAGCTCCTTCATTGGAGGTTTTAAAATCTTGTCTTAAGACACATTTGTACGCCTTGGCTTTTAACACCAACTAAGGCTATATCCACACGAAGACAAAACGCTTATAATTTCAGAAACTTTTTCTGTAAACACGGAGTTAGCTCAGTAAATGTGTGCGTCCATATGAATGTAGTCAATACGCCTGAAAACGCTGTGAAACTATGCCAGACCTGTTGGTGGCGCTGTGACGCAATGACGGGATCAAGCCCAAACTTCCGTGGGCATGCGCGGAATTTTGTAAACAGACAACATGGCGAGTGGGCGAGCTGGTACTACATTAGTATGGACGGACGATGAGGTTGAACTGTTGCTTCGGGTCGCACTGGATTACAAAACCAACAAGCTACATTGTTGTTGTCATTATTTTCTGAGTGCGGCGCATGCGTGCTTTAACAAGAGGCGGGGCGATGACGCAAGCGTCTCAGATACATTGCGGAGAGGCAGTAACCACGGAGCGGCATATACGGAGTTTTGAAATCTTTCCACTCTGGGACCTAGTTTCAAAAATGTTCGTTTACACCCCCCCAAAACGCCGGCCTCGTATGGACGATACACTGGATTGATAAAGTATTTTTGCGTTTAGGCCTGAGCTTGACTTCGTGTGGACAGGGCCTAAGTGTTACCATTTTACATGTATTTGTATGTATTGTATGCTGGTTGTTTTTATCTTTTATCTTTTGTGCCTGTGAAGCACTTTGGGCAGCTGGTGTTGTTGTAAATATACTGAGCCGTGTAGCTCAGTGTGGCAATCTGGGAGGTTTTTGTTCAGTGGAAATGAGGCCTACATAAGAGTCATTGCATGAATTACAACTTTTTCCTCGATATGAACTTAGCTTTAGTTTACATAACAGTTTTTACCATCCTTTATCGTGCTTCTTGTGGCAAAGATTTAAAATACCTTTCTTCAGTTTCCGCTCTGCAACCCTCGTGATAACAAATCATTTCAGCTAAAGATCTCGGCTTGAAATCCTTTAAATTATTTTGAGATATTTATATAAAAGCCTCACAAAGACAGAAAGCAATAAATAGACAGCGTTCTGAAAAGATTTGCACATTTTCAACCTTCAGGAAACATTAAACCCATACATGTTCAATTTAAAGCATCCCCGTTCCTGACTGATGCCGCCCACAGTAAATACATTTTTTTGAGGCAGCGATTCTCTCCAGTAAATTGTGCCTTTTATGCTTTAAGAATAGCATTGAGTGTCTCTTTTTGATAGTATAGTAGAGATGAATAAAAATGGCGTAAACCTATCAAGTGTATCCTCCGTTTTGGCTGTGGGCACATAAAACAAATGCGTAGATATTACTTTAAAATAAGATCAGATTGAGCGTGTGAAACCGTGGCGACTGCGGAGAGACGTCGTCAAAAACATGAGATTAATGAGGAGAGACGCGTAATGCAGTCGAGGCTGTGAATGATGAAAGTGCACAACAGCGAGACTGAAGCGTGAATGGTGCTCGCGTCCGGTGAGAAGAAAGAAATGGGTCAAGATTTAAGCAACAATGAATGTCGAAAGCAGAACTTTTGTTGCTTACTTCCTGCCTGAGATGTGACAAAGCCAAGGTTTTTTTTTTAGAATGACATGCACAGAATGAATAGGAAGTTTTTGCGATGCTGTCTCCAAACCCTTGTTTTGTTTTTATCTTACGGAACAAATGTTTTCAATGTTTTTGCAAAGATCAACCAATGTAGATTTGCTGTGCCAGATGCAAGCTTTATTAATCCAGTTTACAGAGATATCGCACAATAAATGTATAATACAGACCAGATATAGGTACTTTTCATCTGTAGTGCCTGGGCCCATTCAGCAGGCTTACAGTGTGCAGAGAATGTATAAATAAAATGGCCTTATGCACATTTAAAACACAGGTAACTTAACAATTCACCAACTACAAAGACACACAATAGTTACACAATTGTCTTAACAACTGCACATGTGATTATCTTTGAGCCATTTTTTTAGGATTTAAACCGACCCAGAGTTGAGACAGAGGTCAGGAGATCCAGGCCCCAGCTGCTTTGACATTTGTGTTTTTACTTTTTAGATTATGGTGGTAGGTTTGAACAAATTATGATTATTATTATGAATATGAGTATTGTTTTTTTCTCAACAAGTTGTGCACAATGGGTTGGTGCCAAGAACTCAAATTAGGGCTTTACAAATACTACAAATACAAATACATTGAATTCAGTTTGGGTTCCTGAGAATGAAATAATGAAACTTATCAGCCGGATAGAAAGGTTAATGCAGGTTAATTTATAATCTATAAATATCGGTTGATCTCCAATTGATATGTGTTAATTCTTTCCCTTACACATAACATAAGCACTCGCTTCTCCATGAAAGTTTGAAATTCCATCTCAGTTGAAAAGTTTTGGTGCTTGACACAGTTTTATTGTTATTCGTTTGCTGTAACCAGCTCAGAAAGTGTAGAAAATATGTCTTCAGAAGTGGCGCCAGAAGTCCAATCCCTAATTCTTGGATCAGACCGAATGGGATTAATGGATTCAGGACAGAGAAGCCTTTTGTCCAACAGCCTGGTCTGACACTGGGGCTGGGGTGAAAGATTTCTACAAGATTAGATTTAGATTTTTATGACAAACATTGCAAAAGTGATTTGACACTTTTGTTTTGTTAAATAACCACGTCACATAAGCCGCATGTTGTCCACTTTTTTCACACATTGCTTCCACATTGGTGTAAAACCATAGATTTTATTTGACTATCCCACCAGAAAAAGAAAATCAGGAAAAAAGAGCAATGAATAAGGCCCCGTCCCAATTCTCACCCTTGCCCTTAGGTGTGAGTGCCCTCACCAGCAAAGTGCCTTCCCAGTGGGGAGTGCACTCACAACATTCTCCCAAAGAATTGGGACACCCTGGATCTAGGGGACAATATGCAAATGACGCAGCAGACGTGTTCCACGTCACACACATTATCAATGTGTGTGATTTCACCACAGATGAGATCTGACACAGATATGACTTTATGAAACACAGTATTTACTAAAATGAGACGTTTTTAATTCTATTTCATTGAAGATTTGCTATAATTAGGTACAGAACTGATGCACATCACGCACTCAGAGACAGACGCACACACGCATACATGTACACACACAGAGCCAGACACACGCACACAGACGGACACATGTAACACACATACACGTACGCGCACAGATATGTACCACACAGAGACAGACGGGTACAGCCGCGGTCCTGCGGATCACAAAGCAAACTGTGTCAAAGCGATGCTCTGAACTACAAAATATAATATAATATTAACGTGCACCACGTCTCTGAAGCCTCAGTGAACGCCACACACTGCAGCCGCTTTGGGAGCGAACGTCACCGCACACGGCACCAACACACGCTTTAAAAACTAACTCGCACACGCTTTGGAGCTTGCTCATGTTCCGCACAAACTTGCGCGCCGGTGTTTCATGTTGTTTTCTTTCATTGTGGCGCGGCTTTGCCCGTCTGCTGCTTTACCAACAGCTATCGTAATGCATCATGGGATCACCCTCGCTCGCAAGTGAGCTCCAAACCTCACTTGCGCTCAAGGTTGGTTTTTAGGGGTGTGAAGGCCCTCGCCTCTTCTCCCTAAGTAATGGGACACCCTTCCACTCCTGCGGGCACGCGCAAACTCTAGGGCAAGTGTGCTTTTTAAGGGCAAGGGTGAGAATTGGGACGGGGCCAAAGTAAGTAGTAATGCTTTGATTACACATTTCGAATTTTAGGGTTTCAAAGTTACACATACCAGCTTTAATTTATATATTTTTAAAATATATTTTCCAGGTATTCAAGAGAAAACCGACAAGGAGTGTAAGAGATGAAAATGTAAGTACCGTATTGTTCTAAGTACTTAAATCATGCTTGGATTCAGACATATTATGGACAGTTGGTCATGTTGTTATTGTTCATTTATCCTGTTTTGTGTGCTCCTCGTTCCTACTGTCTATAATTGTGATGCAACACTGAAATTTCCCATGCACTGTGGGACTCTTAATCTTAATCTTAATACAGCCCTGTAGTTGTACCTGCCCCTGGAGTGGCCGTTCCAGCAGTCGTCCTCAGAGGAGTTCCCTGGCTTGAGGCGCTCGGCCGCACACACTAAGTCGGGGAGACCGGACCAGAACTTCTTAGACGTCTTTAACTTCTCTTTGATGTCTGCCACCTGGAAACACAATGAGCTTTTAGTCTACAAATAAACACCCCAGAAATGTGAAACAAATTGACCCCATCAGTCAAACAGATGCAGGGAAAGTTTGAATATGACAACACTTCCTAAACCTTCAACCATCATGTGAATTACATTGAGCAAGTATACACGGTACATAGAAAATAAACAAATAAATTAGTTTCTAACGGTATATCAATATATTGTGACGGTATGAGAAATTGTGTCTCACTCATAACTCATTGTTCAATAAGTAATAGCTGGAACAATTTGTTTTGGAGCAAATATTTATCAAGTGTGCATTTTATTTTTCAATTCCTATTTTCATTTCAACATTTAGACTTTGCTGAGTTCCACTGAAAATATGCAATGTTTTCTGGCTTTATCCTTTTTCACTTTTTTGTCATTGGTTGTTTTAATGCTATTGTTCATTATGATACGTAAATATCTCAATATAACACACTTCTTATCATCACTGGCGTAAATGTAAAATTGGATGTGAAACAGACTTAAGGTGGAGCCTTGGTTCTCAATAATTCAATTCAATTTATTCTTGTATAGTAGGCCTAAATCACAACAGTAGTTGACAAAACCGTTGAATTCGCCGACACAGATCAGAGAATCAAACAGTTCAAACACAAGAAATGCAATGATAAAAAACACATAGAGCCATTGGTCCATAAAGGCAGATGACCAGTGTCCATGAAGGTTGATAACGTTCATAAATGTTGTTGAATGTTGAGTGTCCTGGATCATCACCACTGTTCTTTTGTTAGACCCTCCTGCATCGGCATGGAACCACCGAGTGGGAAAAGGCGAGAAACCTCGGGGAGGCCCACGATGAGAGAGTGATCCGCTCCCACGGGCGAACGGGCAGTAGATCCAGGACTCAGGCTGATAAGAGACAGAGGACTGCTGCAGATGTCCATATTTCATCTTCTATTTTGGTTCTGGACCTGTGTGTGTTTGTGTTTTTGTGTTTCAGAAATAACAAAGAAATAGCGGAGTACTAAAATCAATAGCAGAAATAAATAACTAGAGCTGAAACGATTAATCTAATAACTCGAATAATTAGATTATTAAAAATAGTCGATTAATTTCCCCTGCCCCGATGCTTCGTATGGGGTAGTTTATTTGCGGCATTTTGCCTTGTTTGTTCCATTTTGCACCGATTCTTTGTGTGTTATGCAACGTGTTTATGCCACAGATCTTGCCTTGTCTTCATTTGATAATATGAATGCAATAAACTGTATACAGTTTAAAGACTGTATACAGATTCATTATTAAATGATTTTTATTTGTCATTGTATATTTTTAATTAGGCTAAAATGTTTTTATTTTTCTCTTGATTACTAATTAATTTTAATTAATCTGTGTATTCGATAGAAGAATTGATTACCAAAATAGTCGATAGCTGCAGCTTTTAAATAACGTAAAATAATAGAAGAACCTGTAAAGAGATATTTATTGTAAGCCAGGTCACTGTATAGAAAGTGTCTTGGATGTTGCCATTCTGCCACTTTTGCGTCTAAAGGCTTGATCAGGCCTCATTATCACCCTTCAGAAAAAGCTCATTTACCCAGACTCTCTCCTGGAGGCGCTGTGGCTGTTTGGATACACTCACACTTTTTGCCTTTAAAAAATGTTTTTTCCCGCAGCTGGTTCCCGTTCAGCAGCAGCAACTTCAACCTCCATAAGTCAAATATAAAAATAGGCAATTTACTTTCATGTGGGATTATTCTACAGTTTGCTTACATTCAAGTAATAGTACCAATATCACAACCTCCCAGACCTGATAGGCACCACCCGGCTCCCCTCTGTAGTCCATCATGGAGAACTATGCCCCCTCCCCATTCCTAAGCTGAATGTCCGACTTGAAGAGCGCTTTACATCTTGACCATGTGACACGTGCAGATATCGTTTCCGGACTTTGAGCCTGTTGAACTCCAATCTCTCATCAAACGCGGCCCAATATTTGACATATTCCTGTGAGGCTGAGGGGAAAGGCCGATAGCCATTATCTTGTAACGTGTGAGTTGCTGTTGGCTTATGTGAAATTGTGGTGAACCTGAGCAGAACATGAAAGGTGGTAAGAGTGCGACGCTGCTGTAGGCCCTCACGCGGCTTTTGATGTGTTAATCCTGTCACAGCGATGCCCCCGTGCAGGCAGCAGGACGGTGATACTGGCCCCAGGGTCAGAGAGTGAGAGAGACACACACACACACAGACAGGCGCACACACACATATAGAGGATGACCACCGGCTCACATTTACGACACTATAACACATTTATCACTACAGTCTTCAACAAGAGAGACCAAACCAGGGGATATCATTTACACACAAAAAACAACAAAAGACAATCTGAAATATTTTGTATTTTACTCTTTACTCTCTCAAGCAGCTGGCTCAAGTTCCAATCACTGAATACATATTGAACAGATATTGTATGTTGAGCCAGTGAGATTACATTAAGGGCCTTTCTGTGTAGAGTTTGCTTGTTCTCCCCGTGTATGCATAGGTTTTCTCTGGATTCTCTGGTTTCCCCTATCACTAAAAACATGTGAAATAGGCCTCAATGTAATGAGGGAGTGAATGGATGGTGACGGTTGGAGTCACTTCTCTCATGTGTGGGGAGGGAAAGTGTTTTAATCCAAAAACACTGTAAAAATCTTGTGTGACCTTGGTCTGTGAACTGTGCTATATAAGTAAAGATGACTTACTTACTGAACTATTTATCAGTATTTTACTACTTATTATTCAAACTTTTAAACTTTATTTTTACTGCTTACTTTTAATCCCAAACATCTGTATATTGAAACAGGTTTGAAGTGGTCTACACTGAAAATATTCATTCTGGTTAGCAGCGCCTCTGGTTCAGCAAACCGCTCTGCTATAGTTCTACATGTTTCCTTTATTATCAAATTCTCTGCCAGTGAGAGAATGATCTTATAGGCCACTAATGTTTACTTAGTGTAATTCTGCATAATTTATTGATAAAGTCAGAGTTGATGCAACACTGAAATTTCCCCACTGTGGGACAAATAAAGGATCTCTTAATCGGAATCATATTGTAACCCACTATAATGACTACTGTGTGTACATGACTACAACATATACTCAATAGCTGACAATGTAGTGACTCCTTTTCTCCGCTAGATGGCGCTCGGCCCTCAAGATACAGCTGAAGGTGCAGGTGGTTGTCACATACACATATTCATTTATTAATTCATTCATCATTTAACATTTAACATTTATCTTCTTTCTTATGTGAGAGACAGCTGGTTTGTACTTGGTCAAAGAGTGCATTATTTATGATTAATATGCAACAAATGTGCAGGTCTGTATAGTCAACTTAAGTAATTATTGATTGACTAAAACAAATCCCTGCTGATGATTGTTAATAATAATAAGAATGCATCGGTTTTATATAGCGCTTTTTTTGGACACTCAAAGACGCTTTATGTGTTATTATTCATTCACTCCAAACATGGAGGTGATAAACTACTACTGCAGCCACAGCTGCCCTGGGGCATACTAACAGAATCCAGAAAACCAGTGTGTGCCATCAGCCCCTCCGACCACCACCAACCATTCACACACACACAAGACTCATTCTAGGCAATGGGGGTGAAATGTCTTGCCAAAGGACACAACAGCAGTTTGGCACTTTACAGCCGCAGCCGCCCCACTGTGGCTGCTGTTCCCAGAGGTTAAGTGTTTTGCCAAGGACACAACGACAGACATCAGTGGGAGTAGGTGGAGAAAGTGTTGTGGTGGGCTTGAACCCACAACCTTCAGGCTCAAAGGCCAATGCTCTACAAACAAAGCCACTGTCGCCCATGTTGACTAAAAATTGCAATAACAAAAGCGCTCTCGAATACTTCAAATTGGTTTGGGTTAATTAAGACCTAAACTATGATCTCAGGGGGAAAGGATGTAGCAATAAGAAGCTTGTCAGATAAACTCATGAATCAAGATAATTTGTCTCAGAAATTGACTTTGCATAGTTGCTGTTGTCTTGTGTTCATATTTCTCACGAGAATATAGATATGCCTTCAACACATTTTGGTAATTCCATACGTCATGGACCATTGGAAAACCTCCAGCCCCTCGAACGTGTGACATTCTCCCCATGCACTAGATGGAGTTGTGCCCTAGGACACACCGTACGATCACAATATACATAAGAGCTATTTCCAATTCAAGTCAAGATGCGAAATTTGCTTTACACAAAAACTGAGACAACACTACTGCTTTGGGGCCGCTATTTTTTTTACTGACTTTAATTTCTGTGGCAAAATGGGAGTTTGACAAGCTTCTCACTGCCATTCAGCACCAACATTCTTTCTCACAGGCATATCAGACAGTCACTACTTTGCCTTTTGGTCAATACATTTCATTACAGACATTAGCATTATAGCATTAGCATGTCTGGTCTTTTGCACATTGTAGGTGTGGGGTATCCTGTCTGCGAACAGTCAGTTTTCTCATATAAGAAGAGTGATTTACAATTGTCCAAAGCATATTACGTCTGCAAGTATGTGTCAATCTTATCAATTCAAACTGATACTGTATGTAGAAATACAACGAGAAATTAAGAGGGAATTGCAAAAAGACCAATGATGTTTACACAATGGTCACACAAAAAGTTAAACATGAGGGAAGATAGCTTTGTGTCTGCTACCATCAAGTAGATACAAAAGAAAAAAACTAGCTTCCATCTGTGCAATAGTGCATCTTCCTCATTCTGTCGCTCCTACCTGCTCTATTATTGGTTCCCAAACCCATGCAAAATTCTCTGTCTGAGTTTCCATGCTGCAGTTCAGTTCGAAATGCATGGAGATTCCCAGGCTGCGTGCTGGGCTGCAGTTTATAGATACAGTAATCTTTTATAGTTTGCTGATAATGATGCTTACGTAATATTATATATAATCAAAGCAAGGTCATATGTGAAATTACTTTTAAACCGAACTGAAACGAGAAACTTTTAAACA